TTTTCGGGTCGACGTAGTCGGTCCCGAGGATTCGTCGTCTGTTGAACAATCCGAATCAGCGTCGCTGTCAACGGATGGGCAATCTGACTCCTCCTCATCCTGTCTTGAAGATCGCTTCCATATCGCCGGAGCTGATGGATTCCACCTTCGGCACAATCTGATGGCGGGTGCCGCAGGGAGCGCCTTGGCCTTGGCATTCGGCTTCGCTGGAGCTGCCTTCGCTTCGGACTTGGCTTTAGCCTTTGCCTTTGGTTCCGGAGCTGGGGTAGCCGCTGCCTCATGCTTGAAAGGACAATTCTCTCTTGAGCACGAGCCTGTGTTCTTGAACGAGTAGCATATCCTGTTTCCTCCTCCTCCAGATGGACTCGGAGTTCTCGTCCTCGGCGTAAAGGGTCGCTCTGGAGTCTTCTTCGAGTGACTAAATGGGCACTTGTCACCATTTCGACACCCTGCATCTGTGAAATGGAACTTGCAGCGGATTTGCTTCTTGCTCTTGTCACCTCTGTTGTCCGCTGACTCACTCCTCGTCTTCTTCTTGGGTTTTGGCTTGGTTTTCGCATGACTCTTCGCTTTGCTTTGAGGTAGTACAGGTGTTGCTTTATCCGGCTTGGTCGGCGAAGCCTTGACCTTTGCGGATGGAGCTGCGTTAGGCGTTGGTTTCTCAGGTACCTTGGCCGGTGCAGCAAGCAAATCCTTGCCCTCAAGCATCTGGCGCAAGCCAATTTGGGTCTGAGTGAGATTTGATTGTTCTCGTCTCCGCATGATGGTACGGTCAATGATCTTCATCAAATTGTCGTACGATCGGTCTTCATGATTGTAGGGCAAGTGTTCGTAGTGCATGCCCAACTCCATCTTCATTGCGGGCGAGTCCTTGATCTTGCTGTACAAGCAATCACGGAGAGCTGTTTTGGATGGTATGTCTTCTGGCCTCATCCGTCCCAGAACTTCCAACCACGTCTGCTTGAACGTATGAAGCTTGTTGTCGCCTTGGTACTGGAGCTTCACCAGATACTCGAGAGTGATGATCATGTCGAGACGATCATGCGTTCGAAAGCTTTCATACATCATCGCAATGATTTGTCGTCCTTTGATGATCTTCCCTTCGGGCCTGCTGATGTAATCGTTGGCCTTCCGGTTCACCTCCAGGTACAGGTCAGCAGATTTGTCACCACCAGCACGTAGCATTGCGACCATTGCGATCCCCAATTTGACGTCTACGCTCTTAAACTTCTTGTGTCCTGAATCGTTCAGTGCTTCGACATCAGGGAATGGGTTGAATGCTGGTGCCAGCCATAACATCCAGTCCTCATGATTTGGATCGGCTGATGCTCCTAAGACATTCGCCGTGCATACGGATCGCCAGTTGTTGAGGTGAGTGAGAGTAGGCCATGGAGGTACGGTCACTTTGTCGGCCTCCCTCCTGGAAATTCTCACTTCCGTGACTTCAGGATCTGCGTCTCCATCAGGATCACGCGCATGAGATCCAGGATCCGATTCAGGTTTGCCTCCACCGCTTTTCTTCTTATCATCATCATCGTCAGGCGGGTCAGGAGGGTCATACCCCGTGCCGGTTCCTTCATCGTGCTCTCCATCTTCGTTCTCGTCGCCATCCTCGTCACCGTCATCGTCTCCATTATTCTCCTGAATCGTTTCAGCGAATAATCTCCACTCATCACGATCAGCTCTGAGACGTTGTTCGGCTTTCTGGGCCTTGAGTACTTCGCTTCGCAGATCGGCAATCTTCTCCTCGTACCGTTCCGCGACCTCTTTCTCGATCTGACGTCTCCTTGCTTCATGAATGGAATCGTCATAGGCAATAGGGGGACCGATGAGGTCGTTGCCCTTCGTAGATGCGGTGATACCGTCGACACCAACAGGTCTTGAGGAGCTGGCAGATGCTGTGGACTTCGATCCCAACATCCCGCGATCCTCCAAGAGTTCGCGTAGCTGTCGATCACGCACGGCTGCCGCATCACTTTTCCCATGAAATCCGCTTGGTATGCCGAACAAAGTGGCTGCACTAGGCGTGGAACGCGCAAGTGCTGGGCTGCTAATACCTGGCACGTAGTGCTCGGGCATTGCATCCGCCACGATTGGCATTGAACTGCGGCCAGTGAAGAAGTTTCCACCGGTGAATGGAATTCCATCCATCACAAGGTTCTTGTCCTTGTCCGATTCCGAGAATGCGAACTTCTCTTTGGCGACTGGACTAACTTGACTTGGGGACCGTATTTCAGGGGATCGTACCTCACCTCCTACGGAAAATGCAGGCACTACTTCCTTTCCTACGTGCTCCCAGCCAGACTCAGTAGTCCTCGAAGACATGGGCATGCTTGAAGGCCGTGTCGCTCCTCCGTAATTGGAGTTTCGCGCTGCCTCCAATTCGCTGCGTGTCCTCGCTTGAAGATCTTCTTGTGCTTTGAGCGTTTTCCTGAGTTCACTCAGCTCGTCGTGCAAGGTAGGCAATGATCGCCTTGCATGATCTTCATTCTGATGAAGTCGGTCCTCTGCTTCTTGCATCCTCTTCACAGCCATTTTGCGGTACTCTTCCTCTTCACCAAGACGTTCGCGAAGCCGAAATCGTTCTTGATCAATGGCTGCGCTGTTTCCAGCTAGCCCTTGGATCTCGTTCACGGCCCGCAACTCCTGGTTCTTGACCAAGTGGAATCGTTCCTGCATTGCTTGTAAGGCTTGTTCCGAACTTGCTGTGTTTGACCGGAGGACCAAGTTCTCTCTGGCATGTTCATGAAGTTCATGAGTCAGACGCTCATACTCACGTGCCATAAGCTCACCATCGCCTTGCGCTCTTGCCTCCAACTGCACAAAGTTAGTGGCTGCCTCCGTGCGGAACACGTGTAGCTGTTGAGCTAACTCCTCGGCAACGGCATGTGCTTGACGTTGTTGAGCAGAGTTCTGTTCATCCATGCGAAACAAAGCTGTTTCATAGTCTCGCTTCATCTCCTGATTGACATTGTTGATGTGCCTCATGGCTAAGCATGCATGGTCACGTTGTCGTTCCAATTCTTCAATGCGAATTCCAGATCCTTCATCTTCTTGTTGCATCTCCTTGATCTTGTCCATCAGGGTCTGAACAACTCCTTCGTATTCTTGCATCTGACTGCGATAGTACATCTGCTGCGCAAGGTTAGATGCTTCGAGCTGTTGCGAAATCGTCAGTTCCTGATAGGCATTCGGACCATCGGCTATGGCTGGCGTGGTCACCGATGACGCATCGCCACGTGCTGGGATAGTGTCCAGAGTCATATCCAGATCGTCAGCATCACGTGGTTGATTGGTAACCATCCGATTCCAAGTCATGGATTTGTCACGTCCACGAGTAGCCGAAGTCCTCGATCGTGCTGAAGAGCTTCTCGAAGATGATGGTCTTGACTTCTTTTCCAAGTCTTCACTCCTTTGTCCTTGGCCCTGGACGTAGTCCGAGGTGCCTGAAAACCAGACGCTTCGGCTCGTCGTTCGGGAGCCTTGCCCGTCCTCGAACCTGTAGATGTCGGACGCGAAGGCGTAGATGCTCTTGGTAGACTCTTTGCTTTCACCTTGGGAACTGCCTTTGCGATGGCAAGCGCAGAAGATTGACCTTTGTCATCTTCCGTGGAGCTATCAACGGATTGCACCACTGTGTCATCAGCTGTTGACTCACCAACGGCTGGCGCTGCCACATCGGCACCGAAAGTCATTGTCGTATCTTGGCTTGATCCCGAGTTCATTGTGGTCGTAGTAGATCAAGTAGTCGTTGCTGTAGAAAGGCAGAGCCGCGTACGGCTGATAACCTGCGTGGGGGATTGTTCTCGACTAGGTTGCTGCTCTCCCCACCAGAGCTGTAATGAATGTAGGTGTGGCTGGCTTGCACTCTCCACAGACTGGACCCTGTCTCTCTTACACTTCCACGCGCGCAATCCTATGCAGGCAGAACCGGCGGCCGTTCCTTTTGCACTCACTGCCGGCGGCGGTTCGTCTGTGCAACGGGATAGCTCTGATTGCTCAGGATAGAAGACACATATAGCACTTAGCTATGGGCATTGACTTGAGCCAAACGTTGCGTGGGCGGTCACATAGAAAGGTAAAGATGAGGGACGCGTAGCGTGCCCCCTTAGAGTCGAGGGACGCGTAGCGTGCCCCCTTCTCTTGCACTTTACACGGTCTTGCTCACAGCTCTTATAGTGACACCTTAGAACTTGACAAGGCATCGCAGTCCGTTCGCAAGTAGTAGTAGTAGTAGTACTGCTTTTGCTACTGCTACTGCTACTGTTACTGCTACTGCCACTGCGATTGCTACTTCTACTTCGACTTCTACTTCTACTGCTACTGCTACTACTACTACTACTACTACCACTATCACTATTTGCTGCCAACGCTCAGCATTGTCTCAGCGTAAGGCCCGGCAATGCGCATTCGCATTGGCTTCTCGTGGAAGCGCTCAACCGCCCGATAATGAGCATAGCGACTCTTAGGGTCGCGAGATGACACCGATCCGCAGGGAACGAGACTACTTTGACAAACATGGCTGAAGCGAGAGCCACACACTACTACTACTACTACTACTACTACTACTACTACTACTACTACTACTACTACTACTACCACTACTACTACTACTACCACTATTACTGCCACTATTACTGCCACTACGACGACGACGACTTCTACTGCTACTCCTACTGACTACTACTACTACTACTACTACTACTACTACTACTACTACTACTACTACTACTACTACTACTACTACTACTACTAGTGCTCTGGCAGTACTCATAGTGCGGTAGAAATCTAGCAATACCAGTACTTCTACTTGTTGCTGCTGCTACTGCTACTACGACTACGACGACGAAGACAACAACGACGACTAATCCGCCGACCCCTAAGCCGACTGGCACGAGTACTACCACGACGACCAGCCCGAACCACCACTTGTAGTGCTACAAGGCAGCGGAAGGCAGCAGAGAGGAAGTCCCTGGCAACTCTCCCGCCCATGCATCGGCCTGAAGTTGGCATCAGAGATGACGACGACAAAGGCCTGCTTTTGGTGCTCCGGCTCCACAGAAAAGTCTTGAAGCACCTGAGGGGCACCGAGTTTGCGTGACGTGCACTGGCTCCGACATGCCACCCTGGTAGCTATGATTTTGACATGTCCGGACAAGGCTGAAACAGGCCCCTCGTTGTCAAGGCTCGATGTTTTTGAGTTTTTCGAAGGTGCAAGAATCCGAAGGATAGGGTGCAGCAGCGGAAATAAAGTATAGTTACAAGAGTTGCAGCACCCTGAAGTTGCACGCTTTGAAAGCGCAAAGACAAGATGAGGGTTTGATGCTGCAGGATATGGCACCAAGATGCTGGAGGAACGAAGCACAATACGAGCAGAATATCTAACAGAAATACACTGTGATCCGCTCCATCCAACGTCACGCCAAGTGAAAGAGCTCAAGTGGCGCTATCGCAGTACGCTGGCCTCACTGAGCACCGTTCCCTTGCAAGCCAGAGACCTGCTGTCCACTTCTATTCCAATGGAAGCTCGAAGTGCGAAGCCAGCCCGCTGCAGCAGAGTACCACCGCAGACTGTGTCAGTTTGAAGCAGACGGGTTGAAAGCCCTCGATTTCTGGCATTTCCCTCCCCCTGCAGCACGGCTGCTGATGATAACTGATATAATGATGACGACAATGAAGGCGATGAAGATGACGATGATGATGACAATGGCGATGGTGACGATTGATGAAAGATGACGATAACCATCATGATGATTTTGGCGATACTGAAGGCTGGTACGGTGGTAACACTTGTATCGACGATGATCACAACAAAAAGCGGCAATTAAAGCTAGTAAAGAAAACATGACACTTCCCAAGCCCTAGAGGATTTACGGCGGATTTACGGGTTGTCCCTCCGCACCTTTTACAGGGTTCATGTTTTGCTAGATGTACTGGAAGATTTCAGGTCAATGCCCAGCACTGTTGGGATTGCGGGTCCTCCACTCCCTACTCACTTCTGACCACCAGGTCCAGAACCCCCTACCATATTCGCCATCAGGACCGACAACTCCACTGCCGTTTCGGCATCATGGTGGCTGCTCACACCACTCATTCAAACTTTCTCGACTACTGTGAGACGCCAATCTGGCCATTGGCTGTCTCGCGACCCCGGATGTAAATCAAACTAGAGCCATGATTAGCTGCCTGCGGAAGAGTGGGAAGGATGCGCATTTGTATCTCCCAACCCATCGTGCTTTGTCATTGTCACGAGAGTTGCGTGGAATCATCGACCTGCAGTCTGAGCTCTGGACGTAGTCTATGGCTGCATCTGTCGCCTGCCAGACTTCAGAGAGGCGACGAGGCAGTGTTCGCTACGCCGCTACGCTCCCACCTCGATGGTGTGGTCCCCCGGGAAGCAGAACTGGCTGTGTGCCAGCATCTTCTGGAGGATCTTAAGCCGCTCCCCGCCTGGCCAAAAGATACACTACCGGGCTACCTGTAGCTGACCGTTGAAACTCTGCAGTGGTAAGGCATCCGCGATTGGCTGGCGGCTGTCCGAAGGATACAAAGGGGATATGAGCACTCTCTCCAGAGTGGCCCAGTATCGCATAGTCCTCAGTGTCGCTCTGCCAAGGCCACTGCCCTGCGCATGAATGCAAGGAATCCAAGGTTTCAGCCAGCAGACAAAGTTGTTCGTGTGGCCCTCCATACTTTCCAGAATCAGGCACGTAGCTTCCAGCATTCGGTTCAGCCGCCCGTCCAAACTGTTGAAGCGATACATTGAGCCAGAGCAGTCCATGACGAAGCACAGGCGTCGCTTCTGCCTCGTCAAGGCTGCTAAGGTTATGCAGTTTATCTGTCACCATGAACTAATACTGAACTCGCCTTCTCAGGTGCAAACGAGTCATTCAGATGTACAAGACTGGCTTCAACGTTACTGATGCAAAAAACGGCGGCAACGCCTTCTAGTATTTTCGCCGGGCTGGTTTCGTACTTCAGCTTCTCCACGTTTCTTGTAGACACTGCGTTCTCCTGCAATGCCCTCCACCAATCGTGTGTCATCCAGTTCACCATCTGAGCAATTTCTCCTCCAAACACGCTCTGTCTTCTTGTCCTTGGCATCTCGGAATATAGCCCGCAACTGTGCCACTTGAGGTTCGACGTTGAGGAGAATGTCTTCATATAGAGCCCACATATTCCTGCCACATCGCGCGATCGCATCGAGAAGCATGCAAGCTCGAAGTTATGGGCAACACAGATCAAAACACCAAAAGCACCAAAAGCGGAGCGACTGGTCTCATTTAGCCTCCGAGGCTCGGGTCCATCTTCTCAATTTCTGTCAAGCGGCTTTGCCATGCCTGTCGGATCGAGGACACCCCGCGATCATATGTCATCTATATCTGACTTCCAGGGCAACATGAAATCTAGCCTGCCGGGCCAATTCTCTGGCTTTGGTTTTGGACTCCGAGCTGACCTCTTTCAAAGCATCATCCACCTGGAAAACCTTGCGAGGCATGGATCGAGAGCCCAGTAGGTCTGCATGTTGCACCCGTTCTTTTCTTCAAGCTTCGATTTTAGGGTCTGCATGGCCCGCATTGGTGCCTGCCCTTGTGTACGCGTCTGTGCTCGCCCCCGCACGCGGTGCACGCCCACGCCCACGCGCTTGTGTGTGTGTATGTGTGTGTCTGTGTGTCTGTGTCTGTGTGTGTGTGTGTGTGTGTGTGTGTGTGTCTGTGTGTGTGTGTGTGTGTGTGTGTGTCTGTGTGTGTGTGTGTGTGTGTGTTGTGTGTGTGTGTGTGTGTGTGTGTGTGGTGTGTGTGTGTGTGTGTGTGTGTGTGTGTGTGTGTGTGTGTGTGTGTGTGTGTGTGTGTGTGTGTGTGTGTGTGTGTGTGTGTGTGTGTGTGTGTGTGTGTGTGTGTGTGTGTGTGTGTGTGTGTGTGTGTGTGTGTGTGTGTGTGTGTGTGTGTGTGTGTGTGTGTGTGTGTGTGTGTGTGTGTGTGTGTGTGTGTGTGTGTGTGTGTGTGTGTGTGTGTGTGTGTGTGTGTGTGTCTGTGTGTGTGTCTGTGTGTGTCTGTGTGTGTCTGTGTGTGTCTGTGTGTGTGTGTGTGTGTGTGTGTCTGTGTGTGTCTGTGTGTGTGTGTGTCTGTGTGTGTCTGTGTGTGTGTGTCTGTGTGTGTCTGTCTGTGTGTCTGTGTGTGTCTGTGTGTCTCTGTGTGTCTGTGTGTGTCTGTGTGTGTCTGTGTGTGTCTGTGTGTGTCTGTGTGTGTCTGTGTGTGTCTGTGTGTGTCTGTGTGTGTCTGTGTGTGTCTGTGTGTCTGTGTGTGTCTGTGTGTGTGTCTGTGTGTGTGTCTCTCTGTGTGTCTCTCTGTGTGTCTCTCTCTGTGTGTCTCTCTGTGTGTCTCTCTGTGTGTCTCTCTGTGTGTCTCTCTGTGTGTCTCTCTGTGTGTCTCTCTGTGTGTCTCTGTGTGTCTCTGTGTGTCTCTGTGTGTCTCTGTGTGTCTCTGTGTGTCTCTGTGTGTCTCTGTGTGTCTCTGTGTATGTGTGTCTCTGTGTGTCTCTGTGTGTCTCTGTGTGTCTCTGTGTGTCTCTGTGTGTCTCTGTGTGTCTCTGTGTGTCTCTGTGTGTCTCTGTGTGTCTCTGTGTGTCTGTCTGTGTGTGTGTGTGTGCGTGTGTGTGTGTGCGTGTGTGTGTGTGTGTGTGGGAAGGCAGTGAATCCAAGAGTTAAAAACGATTTAAAAGCCATTAACTCCCGAGTTTATTGCCCGGCATCGGGCCGCCTTGGACCCCTCTGGCCCGCAGAATTTACTTATGATTTAATTGGCCCTGAACGTTGCGCGACGCTCCATTCCACGCCTGTCCTGCTCCTGCACGGCACAATTATAAATCATGATTTAATTCTTTCTGCTACACTATCCGAACCCGAGGCGACAATTAAATCATGATTTAACTGTTCTGAATCAATGACCAAATCTGGAACAATTAAATCAACTCGAACAGTTGGCAAGAACGCAACAATTAGATCATCATGTAACTGCCTCGCAGGATCCTTGTTTGGTCCGCATGCTTGTTTGTCTACTGCATTGTGTGCAGGTGTGTCTACGGGACGCGTCCCTAAGAGGCACTGTGTTGTTACAGCAAGCAATGGTAGATGACAGCCCGAAAAGGAGAAGCAAGCTCTTGAGCAAGAGATAATTTCAGAGGACAGCTTCGGTGGCATCGAAATGGCGGTCCATGGCGTTGGAAATGGCGGTCCAATGCCTTTGGACATGATAATGGGTGGACCCCAAAGAGATGAATGCAGGCAAGGCGGAGGCGTGATCATACTCGACTCGACTAGACGAGACTAGAGTAGACTGGAGTAGACTGGAGTAGACTAGAGTAGGCTACAGACTAGAACCGAGTAGACTAGACTAAACTAGTCTACTTATTTAGGCTAGCTTTCCCTGGACCGTGATAGGAACCAGCTACATTACTGGTGGTTACCAAGAAGGACGCCAAATTGCACAATTAAATCATGATTTAATGTGGTATCCCGCTACTGTGGCGATCTACTCATCTAGGCTAAAATTCCTTGGACCGTGATAGTAACCCCAACTGCATTCGAGGTGGTTACCAAGGAGGACGAATTCGGCAACTAGATCATGATTGAACGTGGATTCCCGCTAGTGTGGCGATCGACTTATTTAGGCTATAAGTCTTTGGTCTTTGGACCGTGATAGGAGTAATGCCAACTTCGTGCTCCTTTCAAAGCGGGATGCTGGATTTCCATCCCACAAGCGGTATGGTCCTCCACGGCCTGCAGCCAGCCCAATCATTGAGTTTTCGGTTTTGCAAACTACTGCATCGACTGGCGCAGCAAGCGATACAGAAACATGTCTCGGCTCCTCCCAAACCTGCTGTGTCCGATCCACCACTACCTCCGGCCCAGCGGTTGCCTTCGCGCACGGCAGGAAGAAGTCGTTGAAATGCCAAATGCCAAGTTCGACTATCACAGCATTTGACGAGGCCTCCAACGTGCGGAGCGCCAGTGGGATCAACCTGCTACATCGTGCATGAGCAGACTGTGACATGTCATCTCGTCAACCCACTCGTGTGCTGCACAGCAGGTTGCGAACTGTCCAGCCTCCCCATGTTTCGGCTCGTGAGCTTGCGTCCGCGGTGTGCTAGGACCTCCTGTCTCACGTAGCACCACACAGTCTTGAGCGAGACAGCAATCGCAAGAAGCATACGGCAAGACAGCCTTTGAAGGCCCACCCCCCATGGAAGACAGCGGGATGCTTGCTTCTTGAAGAGTGAAAAGCATAACCTACGAAGTCCCAGGGGGTCCTCCGTGTGCAGGGTAGTACCTAATTTCAATATTGGCTGCTTTCAGCGAGCGGCTGCCTTTGTCACCTGAGTCGCAGGGGAAGCTCTTTTTGTCTTTTTGAGAACGTTCAGACCTCAGACCGGCACCCGAGACGGTATTGAAGACAGCTTTCAATTCCTCTACTCGGAGACCCTGCAACTTGCTCTTGAGTTCAATTCGAGACGAGCATGTCTCTTAGCGGCAGGCCTGCCTGCGAATCGAAGACACGCAGGAGCTGCCTCCCAACTGTACGAAAAGATTCACTATAGAAGCAAGCAAGAAAAGAGCTCCTCCTAGGACCAATCTTCATGCCTTAGCAGTGGAGGGTCAAACGCTTCGTAGGTGAGCACGTTGCTCAATGCGTCAGCCACAGACTCCTCCAATTTCCGAAACTACACGCGTGATTCCCCGAAGGGTGTCCTTTACGGGTCCTTCGGAAACTTCTCCAAATGCCGTGCCACTGCTATAGCCTCTCGCATCGAGTAGGGGTAGGAGATCGCAGTGCTCTCCGCCAGCTTCCTTGCACCACGTTGGACATGACGGCAAGCGCATGTAATGTCATGCCGGTGGCATGAATGCTGCTAAAGGCTAACGGTGCTAACGCCTGGCACGTTGGTCCTGAGTTCCGAAAAAGCCAGAGCCAGCTTGTCCAGGATCTGCCGCTTGGGGTACGTGGGAGCTATGTGGTGGAGAAGAGCCGTCTCTGAGAAAATGTCCTCTGCCGTGGTTGTCTTCAGTACAGCACTTTGTTAAAACATGGACTTGAAACCGGAGTCTGCCCAGCGCTCTGCCCAAGTGTCCGGATTGTCCAGTACTACTGCCGCGAAGACGTCACCGCATTCGCGGAAAAAGTGATTTCCATGAAAAGGGAAGCCAGGACGATTGGCCAAAACCTGGCTCGTCGGTCGCTTCTTGCATGGAGAGACGAAAGTACTACACATACAGGCGACGTTTCTCCGCAGAAGATAGTCATCATATTGAGACGATAGCAGCAGTGGGTAGGAGTCAAACGCTGCAGTACGTGTCTTTATGCTTGCACAGACAGGCAACTTCAACCCTGCTCACAGCTCAACGACCCTTGGTCAAAGCCTGCAGTCCTAATTTGCTTGGGCACCCGACCCATAACCGGAAATCTGGATGGATCAAAATGTCGGACGGGCGATTTCCTTGGATGGCAGCACTTTCCAACGCAGCAAGATCGTGGATGTCTCTGGCGGAGTCTCGTTTCCGGCACAGTCGGCGCCCGTCTCCCAAGAGCAGTTCTCCATCCTGCCGGTCAAGGAAAACACGCACTCTGCCTCCGGAGTCAAACTCAATGACCGCGACCCTCTGCGACCTCCACGAGCGCTTTCAGAATTATCACCACTTCGATTGGCGCTTTGTCAGCTTCGTCCAGCACCTCGGCGAAGGGTAGTCTCGACAAGCTTATGGACTCCACCCTCGTGGGCTGTTGTGATATAACCTGATGCCAAAGCACACAAACCCTTCCATGCTTCGCAGCTCGCACCAGTGGAGCATCTTCGTAACGCAAGCGGCCATTCTGCAGCACTGGTCGCACTGTTAGAGAACTTACCTCAATTCGCTCTGCAAATGTTCGAGCGACATCGGCACGATTACACATACTTACCACAATGTCTGCGAATGTCAACAAGTGCCGAGCCAGGTGCTGTTGTGTCGCGGTGTAATTGCACATACTCACGCTCCGCCTGAAGCAACTGCAGCGCCCGGTCGGCAGCCACGTTCTTTCCAACGCCTGTCTGGGATTGCACAATGACTCCCACAAGAGAGCTCTTCCGAGCATAGACATCGCAAGTCTTCAGCCTTGGTTCCCCAGCAGTAGCACTGCATGCTCTCCGGCCTCTTCACCTCAGGTGAGTTGGCCCAAGCAGTGGCAACACGAGCAAAGCACAAAGCCAAGTCACACATCAGAATTGCCCGAACTGCGCTCCTTGGTCTTCAGGCTTCGACCGAGTTGGGACATGGTGGGACTGTCGAGTCTGCCAAGCTTCACAGCTGCAGGACTGCTGAAGAAGCTTCGCGGAGCAGGAACCAGTTCGGGCCTTTGCGGCGAGCGCTGTGTGAGTTGCAAGTCAACCAGCAGGGCATCGTCATCGACGCCACTGACGCCTCTCTGGATTCCGTGCTTTGTCGTGTCCAGAGCCAACTCTCGTTCGACTGGTTTCAGCCATCCTTCCATAGCCTCTCGAAGCCGCACTGGCCAGAAGCGGGACATCATTGCGTTTTGCACGATCTTGGGCAGGGAACCGTCAGGACTGACCGCCGCATGGCGCACTATTCGCAGAAGAACACGGGGAGATAACCTCATCAGATCCCGTTCTCTTTCGGAGAAAGATGTGTCAGATTGTGTCTCCAGCGCTGCAGAGGTCACACACACAATGTCCTGGCACAGTCTGGGTGTTGCTGCCGGCACAAGCAATGGCAGAGCTTCACCAATCTCCGCAGGCGTCATCTCCGGTAGGAAGTGTGTAGAGAAGAGGGCAGAAATTTCGGGACTCAGCCAACTGCCGGGTTCTGCAAGTGCCACCAGCCTGAAACTGTCTCCAACCGTGGCCTCGCCCTCGCTTGCATTCTCCACCAGGCGTGTTCCATCTGGCAAATCCAGCTCACGCTCTGAACAAAGCCTACCGAAAGCAGCAACGAGCGCACCGGCTGGAAGCCGATGGATCCCATCCAGAACCACGACCTCTCCTGTGCGTGCTGCACTGGCAACTGGTTGGTCTGCCCATGCGGATTCTCCTGCCAAGCGATTTTGCTCCGTCACTTACGTGTGACCTGTATCTCCAGCCTGAGACTTCATCTGTCACTCGCCGCTGGAGCAGATCTCTGGCAGTCAGATCTCGGTGAAGATTGAATGTCTGCCTGCACCAACGCACTCTCAGTGCAATCTGCGAATGCTTTCATGCCGACTCATGATTTTGTGCAGACACACCCCAAGATTCGTTTAGCATTGCCCTGTGTTTGCAGATAGGCAAAGATTCAAGCATCGCGTGAAGCTGTCTTCACACGTGCTCTCGCATCCCCATGCACGAATGCAGGCACAGGACTGCAACTGCAGTCAAGATGCCAGGACTCCAGTTGCAATGACCGAATGAAAGCACTTTTGCCGGCACCACGACGGGCCACAAGCAAAATATTGTTGCCGGCGGCCAAGTCAGCCTGCCAAAACTCTTGCAGCATCCTCTCGGTCTTGCGCGTTGTGTCAGTCAGTCAGTGTGTGTGTGTGTGTGTGTGTGTGTGTGTGTGTGTGTGTGTGTGTGTGTGTGTGTGTGTGTGTGTGTCAAGTGTGTCAAGTGTGTCTGTGTGTTTGTGTGTCTGTCTGTCTGTCTGTCTGTCTGTCTGTGTTTATTTGGTCAGTGTCTTTAGCACTACGCAACAGCCTGAATTGCACGAGCAGTTGCATCCAACTCTGCTGTGCGATAATGACCACATGACATCATCTGAGCTCCTGCAGTGAGCGCCGGTGGGCAAGTCATCGAAAACATGGAGCAGCTTGCGTGCCTTCGCTGCCAAATTCGCGAACATTCGCGTCCATACCCAGCTGCAGCAAGGCCTATACACATCCCAGAGTCGCCATGCCCGTGCATGAATTTGACTTCGTAACGTCAAGGCAGGGCTCAGTCAAGCCGCTCCTGCTTGACTTGCGAAGCGGCGAGCGGTGACAGTTCGCCATACTCGAGAGGGGGATAGACCCGCTGCCTGGTTCGATGTGACGTCACCCTTGATAGCCTTAATCTTAACACACCCTGGCTACCGCTACCGCTACTCCAATTAGAAAGGCTTCGCTGCCATTGAGGTCGGGTGTCAGAATGTGCAGAGTATCAGCAGGCGCTTGCTTGAGCCGTCTGCAATATCTCTGCAAGGCGCTGCTTGAGAAGGAGAAAAAAGATGTGTTGTGGTGGATGGACTGTCGCTCCAGCTCCTCGGACGGTCGACAGGAAATCTGCTGAATTTCGCCATACGAAAGGTCACAAGTTGATGGGCCCAAGGTGCCATGATCGCTTCTGCAGCCATGACGACGCTTCCGGCATCGGCAGCGACTGAGCCCCTCAACGAAGATGCCAACTCTTCCACTGGAGCAGAGGGAATTAAAAGCCTCGAGCATTTGTCGTATCTTGCTGTTCAGTAAAAACTTCCCGAAAATCATGACATGCACTCACTACCGAGACAGGCAACGACTGAAAGCGTGAACGCAGCGGTGGGTCGAGAGCTCGACCATCGAACGGTGGACAAGGTGAAGCCAGGGCCACGACACGAAAGTTCTGGTGAACGGCAGCAAGGCGGCTGGTGCTGCAAGCATTGCTCCTAGAAGCGACTCACGCATGCACTTTGATAGTGCCGGGCCTGCTTTTGGTCGCACAGCTCCTGGTTCCTGGACCTGGATCGTGGGCAACTTGTAGCGGCTTCAGAAGCTCATAGCGATGAGCTTCTACGAGAAATCGACCATCTTCCAGAGACATTTCTCTGTTCTCCAGCCTGGCACTATCAAGACGTGGCGCGGAATTTTGGCCTCTGGCCACCATCAACGAGGCCAGCGAGATACAAGAGCTGACTGAGAAGGGAAAACCAATGAGCAAGCGAGCAGCAGATTATTCAAAGTCGGAAGAACGTTCCTTTCTGCCCGTTCTAAGCCATCCTGATCTTGCTCAGCATTCCCGTTGGATGTCTTTGCCGCTCACATCTGCAAGGACTCATCCGAGTTGCAAGCACCAAAATACTTCCCTCCAGCGCTGCTCTCACAGGAGGCGCATCTGAAAAGGCCACACTTCCACCGCTGAGGATCTCTCGTCGCCTTGTTACTGTTCTGATGCAGTCAGCACTGTCCACACGGCAGCTGGGCTTCGCGCTGCTTGAGGTCTGCCTCTGTTGTGTCTGCGGAGATACCTACGTACTCAAGCTGGGCATTGACCTCGCTGGTGTGGAAGTAGCAACTGCGCACACGGCGGCAGAGTTGCAGCTTGGAAGCCAGCTCTGCATAGGCGAGGGCCAGGAGACGTGCTCGAGTGCGCTCAGCTGGCGAAGTCAGTAGAAGCATGTCCTGCGACAGTGAGTCCTGTCACGGTCTCTGCCAGGGCGAAGGCATGCGAAGGCAATCTGGGAATCAACTAAATGACATCAAGCCTCAGGCAACGCCCGAATCGCTCCCAAACGCGCCTTCTGCGCTAGCCATTTCAGTGCGGGTCGCAGCGCAAGGGGCAGCTGCGCAAGAAATCCGCAGGGCACGAGAGGGCGGCGAGGTTCCTACATGTCTGGTCCCATGGCAACCACGGATTACAACACTGACAGACATCGAATATTCGCTTCAAGCACAGCCACTCCTCCAAAGGCCGTCGCAGTAGCACTTGAACACCACCAACTGATACTGTTCCACATGCCGTGGAAATAGATCGAAAACCCGGCAGCAAAACGCTGGGGCTTAGCATCGCATTGCTGTCTGGGGCGAAGGCTTCGGACCGAGAAAAACGCTATGGAAAGTGCTGGATGATAAACGGATAAACGTTGGCACGCCCGTACGCACTGAAATCTAAAGCAAAGCTTAAAGCTCTGGTCGAGACGGGAACGGAGGGTGAACGGAGCGGATTGGGAGGTTGCTGGCGGATCAAAAGCACCGGCTGCAGCGGCCACGGCTTCCCTTTGAACGCTGCTTTCTTCTGGTGCTGTCGGAGACTCCGAGTCACGCATCAGGCGAGTCTGCCTGCCAAGGCTTACGTTTTGGAGCCGATCTCTTGGCTGTGCAATGCTGGGGAACCTTCGAGGATCTGTGCGGCCCTCTTCACATGCTCGCTGGGCTCCCACAGCAGACCCTGCAAGAGAGCACTTCGCTCGACGTGCTCTAATGCACGATGCACATGATGCACATTCCAGACCTTGCGCAGCAGGCCGTCGTCGTGCACTGGTGCATCTCCTTCGCCAGCCCAAAACGCCTTAGCCTGCAAGAGACAAAAACCCAGCCTGGCGAACAGCCACAATCAAACAAGAAGGCAGGACCGCCATGCAGACGTCTTTGTCGGTCCGAAGAACCTGCAGAACACACTTCAACGCGCTGGGATGAATCCTTCTGACATCGAGCCCGCTTGGAAACCTGGACACTAGGTTACCAGGTCTCATGGAGTTCGATTAGTTTGTGCGTGTTGAAGCTAAGTCCGGTCCAGAAGCGTTCAGAAGCTTTCGCTTTGGAATAGAGGCTGAGCAAGTCAGGCTGCAGTCTTAGTCTTTGTCTTGAACTGCAACTGTTCGATGTTCCGAAGATCTCAAGCTGCGGCTTTCGGAAATTCAGAAAGATCAGAAAGCGGAACCACATACAATTGCAAAAGCTTGAACGGTACGGTATGTGGCAGCTGTCACAGCTCAGAACTTGCGCCCACGCGGGTGACGAAAGCTAGGAGCCGGCCCCAATCCTGCCTTGCGAGAGCCAGCATCATGGGCATCAGTCTGGCCACCCACCCCTACCCAGACCGGAGTCAGGGGGGACTACCCAAGCACGGCTCCTGGTGGAGATTGGCCGTTGGAGGCATCGACTTGGCCCAAATTTTGAGGGAACCTCTTGCGCTGATCACTGACTTGCCCGCCGCAGAGCGGTTGCTGGACATCCCAATGGCAAACACCCATCAAGTCATCTTATTGCACGCGGCTCGGAAGCAAAGGCCCAATAGGTTGAGGTTGCAATGTGGCTCAAAGCAGCTCAACGGCAGTGGATTTTCCTGCAGGAGTCTCGCGTGACTGTGATAACGTGTATACAGTCGTCTTCAAGTTACCAAGAACAGAAGAACTCATCATCGCGAAACTGCCTGCGGAACGTAAGTCAAGACGTCGCCGTTGGCCTTTGGGCGTCACGAACTTGTCGGGGCATGTCGGAGTGTTCAGCATCTCCGAGCATGCGGCTCGCACAGCAGAGATGACGAAAGCCTATACTGCCAGGACGAAGTCAGTCAGTCAGTTGAGTTCGCTCTTGTCTCAGCAGAGATCCTTGTCATTTCGAAGAGTTGCCGCCACGTGAAGGAAGGCCTTCGCACGCCTGCGAAGACTGGCGTCAAATCTTTCAACGACAGCTCCCCCGAATCGGATAGCAGGTTTTAGGCTGCACCTTCTGACTGCCTCCAGCACAAACGATCTGTCCTGGGCCGCGCTTTCTCTGCGACTGACAAGTCGACGCATTGCCATTGTGCCAGTGCTCCTGCTTTAGGAGTGGAGAGGCATGCCGAAGAGCCTGGCTGAAATCGCGAGTCACAAACACACGAGCCAAACAGCGCTTCAAAAGCAAAGGCACCTCCGCAGCTTGGGCTACTGCCTCTGCTACAATCTCCTTGTTCGCCTGCAACAATCATCTGAGCTGAGGTAGCCAATATTTCGTGCTGTTGTAAGATGTCGTGCTGCTTGCATCTATTTTGCTGGTGGCATGCGCTCGGTTGAGGCACACTGACACACCTCGATATTCGACGGTTGGAGACTGGCTTTACATGGCCTTACTGATGCACACACGAAAACCACATCCTTATGAACTGCTGTCCACTGGTTATGAGCCTGCTATTCTTAAGAGAAGTCATCCACAGACATTGCTGCAGCATACCCACATGTCATACCGATTGTGCACCTTGCGGATGCACACAACTTATTTATAATTAGTTGGAATCCTAGAGGGAGATCTGCATTATTCTCCCCATCGTCTCGAGAGTTCCAGATGTCAAGATTAACGTGATCAGCGCGGTGTCAAGCCCGAAAGCCGAGAATATTGATGATGAGCTACAAGAGAGGCGCAATTTGCACGATCACGCCCATAGCAGGATGCCCCTCCAACCCCTGTCGTCAAACTGAGCTCCTGTCGCATCTGTTTACTTTTAACATCTTTTAACTGACCTCGCCAGAGCACCTGCAACTCGGCAGGCGCGTGCACCAAAGCTTCGCCATCGTTTTGTAGGGCGGCGCGCACGACCTCGATGATCAAGGCACTCATGAGTCACGAGGCTTCGCGGTCGCTGCATTCGCACCTCGTGATCTCTGCGCAGCGGCAGAGGGACAAAGCGCAGCGCTGTTCCACATTCGTGGAGTGCTGCCAGCACCAGCTCCTTTAGCACGCGAAGCGCAAAATGCAAGGACCCAGTGCCAGGATACATGGATACACCATGTTGCAATGTCCTTGTCGCGCAGCAATTCTTCGCTGCAGTGCATCAGCATGCTTCCGGAGTGCTGCACAGCCGCAAGCGCCAGCTCGCGGTTTTGTCGCAGGCAGTCTCGGACTTCTCCTTTTGTCTTCAGTCTTGAGAAGGTCGTGCAAGTTTTTGCACACGCAATGCGGGCAAGGTCCTAGTTGTTGCAGCACGCGTCCGTCGCAAATCGCGTCAAAGTCGGAGCCTGGAATCAAGCCCGCTAAGACCTTGGACAGGAACATCTCAAAGCCTCTCACAGTCACCTTTCAAGCTCAGTGGCCCGATCCAAAGCCATTGCCCAGGCAGGCTGAACCCTCGCATGGCTTTGGGATGCTGGTCGTGAGCGCAGTGGGCTACGCTGCGACGCTGCGTCAGCTCATGACAACATGTCACGACAGGCCGCTGCAGTGCCTGACCATGGTCAGTTTGAGCGGAAGATCGCCTTGGTTTGCGGATTGCAGACGAGAAAGACAGGGAAGGCAGGCGGATGATGGCGGGCTGCTCTTCTTGCGAAACGCCGCTGGCAGCGGTCCGGCACCCAGCGCCCTCCCAGCCCAAACCAGGCGGAAGTGATCCCCTGACAGCTCGAAGCAGCTTGCAGAGGCTTGCAGACGCTTGCACAGTAGCCGGTAGCCTGGGACGGCGGTCTCAAGGCTGATGGCCTCCATCAAGTCCTCTCAACAAAAACATCGGCTCCGCCCTGCTCAGCCGCTCAGCCAGCCGCTCTCAGCTCTCCTGAGTTGTCCAAGTTGCCTTGGGCATCACGAGGCACAGCTCCGTGTGATGGAGGCCACAGATCACCTCCCCACCCCACAAAACTGCGGAAAGACATCTGAGGGCAACGGCCTCCGGCCTGGATCCCTGCAGGACCCTCCGGCATCAAGGACGCATATGCTGCTGAGGCTGCCGAGGCCAAATACTTGGAGTGCGTCATCCCGCACGGGCTCGCCATCACGCGCCCAATGCAACAGGGCGCACTTGCAACACAGTATTAGATTTGGTACTAGTCGAAGCTATCAGTACCGATCCCATACAACTAACTGCATTGTTGCCGGACGAATTCACACCGGGAGAACTGACTCGCTGCTCGTACTGAAGCGTAGTGTACGGACACAGACTACCATCTGATGACTCCTTCGTCCTCACAACCATCTGCTAGTAATGCTGCGGTGATCTTCACCTTTGGTGAAGCCCTGGCCAGCTGAGGCCACACAGAGCCATTCAGATGCCGCAGAGAAATCAACGCTCGCACTCACCATCAGAGAAGTCAGAATGCTAGCAGCATGATGGGATTTTCAAACCCACCTACAGCCTTATCTGAACACGGCAGGGTTGCAAGCCGGGGAGGACCTTTGCTCTGCTCTTCTTCTTCGCAGGTTTCTTGGTTGGCCTTGGGAGAGATAAGACTGAAGGGTAAACCACTGCATCTGTTCAGACACATAATTCCATGCTCTCATGTCATGAGGTGAGGCCAGCGGCTTCTTGAACTTGGACATCTCTTCTGATGTGTAGAAGTCCGACTGAAACTTGTTCTGCAATGTCATGGAAATGTCTATCAACTCAAGCACGAGACGACAATGACAGCATCGCTCGGGCGCACCCCAAAGTCCAGGGTCTGATTCTCGCTCATTGCTGTCAGGATCTGCAGCCTGAAAGAAGCATTTGCTGGCTCGTGCCACGAGACTTCACGACCGGTTCAAGTGGCACAAGCCGGAGTTGGCCTCTTCTCCGGATCCCTCTCTTCAATGACTCCGGTGGGCACACCACCGATCATGAAGCCGCTCGGTGCGACCGACGGATCGTCGTACCTCATGGGGCTACTCGGTGGCCAAAGCTGACGCAGGCGCCAGCGAAGCTTACTTGTCGAGGATGTCCGCCCCCTGCTTGGTGGGATCGTACTCCACCTGAGACCTCGCAGCAATCATTTACATGTCTCAACATTCTCCAACATCTTCCAGCCACAACTTCCATAGCCTGCCTAATGGCTTCGTTCTTCTTCGCTTTGTCGGAATCGAGCCTGCCATGTGCACAGGATGGTGGCAGACAGGGACTCTGCATAACCCTGCAATGCTTGCAATGCTTACACGAATCGGACAAGACAGGCAGGGCACAGATTGACATTGGACAGCTCGTCCTGCCTGATGGGCCGTGAGCAGATGGAAAGCGGACTCTGAAAGCGATTGAAGTTTCTAGTTGAGAAGCCCGCGTTTCGACCAGGTTGCCATCCTTGTCAATCAACCGCTGGTCGCTGAGAGTCATCACCATGGTCTCGGCCAGGGAGTCATCAAGGCTTCTGTACATCAGTTCAACCGTAGTTCAACCGTCAACAGTTGCAGTTCTGCAGCACCTCTCCCTCTTTTAAGGCTTCGGAGTCATGTCGTACTTTCATCTTTGGAACCTGTCATCCAAGCATTCTGCACAACGTGGAGCACTGACACCGAAAACAAGGATTGCCGTGCTGGTCCAAGGCTTGAGCAGACGCATCTCCGCCAGGAGCCTCCTTCCTGTGGTGTCACGAAAGCGCGTCGTTGCTGCTGCCATGCGAAACTATGATGCGAACATGTCTGCAGCCTGCAACTGCTGTCGGGCAGTGTAGCCTTCTAGACTGATAAGCACAATGAAGAACCCATTGCGACTACCAGAAGCAATAAGTACCGAACAAGGCGACATGCTGAGGAGCATTGCGCAAAACAAGAGGTCATAGGAAGATTGCAACGGTCTCCAAGCTAGAACCTGCAAAGGCAAACACGACGCATCTCGGTTTATGGTGCCTGAAATGGTAAAGTCCCGTTGTTCTCCGAGAATCTCGAGGGTTAAGGTTTTTGGGACAAAGGGTTCGGAGCCATGAATTGAAAGGCTGCCACCCGTCTTCGCACCCCTGGAATGTGGGCCTTCTTCATGCAACACAAGCATTGCATCTTCGGAGCGGCGTGCTTTCGAAGAACTCATGAGCCATGGAACTCAGATTATGCAGAAACCTTGCTCTAGCTCAAAGAAGCTGACATGGACGTTGATTGCAATTGCCCGGGGCCCGGAGATTCGTCCGGTGCTCAACGCTCAACGGCAGGATGAGGGTTGGTGGGGGAGCGTTCAGAGCACGAACATGAACCTGTTGTCGTCAAGGCGGCATTGTAATCGTCGTCATCATTGGCAGCATCATCGTCAGACATCGCGAGACCGTCTCAACGGCGTGCCCGACATGCTCTTGTAATAAACCGCACTTTGTCCTATCGGTGTTGGTATCGGGGCCCTTCTTGTCTGGCGGCTGAAAGCGCTCGGTCCTCTTCTTGCCATCGTCTTTCTTGGCAGTCGCTCCCTTCATACTTCCATCCGCGCCTCTTGTCCTAGGGTCCGGAAAGGAGGTTTGCTGGTCAGGTAGCGGCGAACTCCCTCTCTCGATGCGCTCAGCCTGGCGATCCAGTCTGATGCGCTGCCCTTCCCCTCCTTTCAGGTGGGCGAATCAGAGTTCGCAGGCAGTCTTGAACGTCTAGCTGGCGCGCCTCCTTTTGAAGGATATCTCCCAATCCCTCGCCTTGCACCAACTCCTGCAGTGAAACCGTCCAGACACGACACGAGGCGAATGCCGCAGAGAATGCATGCCGTCCTCGTGGTCTCTCTTCGACTTGGCAGCTGCAGCCTTCCGCACACACATGGCCCAAAGACCCTTCAGAAGGCAAGGTTCGCTCGGACCTTCCGCTTGCTCTCCTTGTCTTTGTCCTTCGCATCTTCAGCTTTCTTATCTGCCGGAGCGAAGACCTCAGACAGCGCCATGAGAGACTTGGTTGATTCTATTCCAGATTACATACCGTGTCTATACCTGACATTTTTGACCCACTGCAGTACAGAACTCTGCCTTTAACAGCTTTGGATTATGCTTTGGAGCGGCTCAGGTTTTCCACAGCCTAGGCCCGGGCAGGATCGTTGGAGCTGCCTTTAAAACCTCGAAGCCGCACCAAAGCTCTTCCGTGACGGGCACTTCTCGTAGCGGAGGCTCACAGCGCTGAGCAGAGTGCTTTGTGGCTTGTCCTCTTTCAGTTTCTGGATTCCAAGCCTGGCAACATGAACACGACAAAAGGGGAACCCGAGGGTGGCGTGGAGGTAAGACACGGCCAGGAGGGCGACTCGCGGAGTTTGTTGCTTTCTTCGACAGATTGGCTGATCTGCAAAGCGGAGCACGTCGAGTTGCCATGACCAGGCTTGCCGATGGTTGCCAGATTGCCTCGCCCCCTTTAGGCGGCATTTCCGTGTTAATTGGCCAAGCCTGGCAACTTGGTCATTGGAATTCTGCTGCTGAAACGGATTCCTAACATTATTGCCGAGCCTGCGGGCTGCCACTGCAAAACAGCCGCAGGCCAAGCTACGATTGGCCCAAATCTGATGAGCCAAGTGCCAGCACAACTGCTGCTTCTAAAAAATGAACCTGCGTGACCGTCAGGCACAAGGCTTGGTCGCTGTGCCAGGCTACGACCTTTTCTGGGCCTGCTGCTTCAAGCATGTAGCTCCTTCCTCCCGTACTTCACACTGGCTGAATCAACCATTGCTTAACGTCGAGAAGGTCCATTGATAAATGATACTGATGGTGATTCCGCACTTGAGTTACGACAGTGAGCATCCGCTTTCACGGCCCTCTCATCCCGACTTTCCCAGCCTGGCAACCAGATATGTGCCGGAGTAAGATGCTGCACAGTTGAGATACCTCGCCACGACTGTTTCTCCCAGAACTTTCATGTCGTTTACAGCCTCAGACACGGCAAAGTTGATCAAAGCTTCGTTTGCAAGTCGGCAGCATTGAAAGCGGCACTCGCCTCAAGTGCCATTTTGGCATGTGCCGGCTGAACGAACTGGATCAACGCATCTGCACCCACACCCACAGCATGAGAGCGTCGTCGGATGTAAGCGATCTGCAGGCAGGCGAGAGCATACAGGGATAGAGGCCTGCAACAACTATGCCGCTACGTGCCAGGGAAGCTAAGTTGCGTTGCAGCTGTTCCTTCAGGCCGCTGGGATGCACACTCGGCTAAAGCCGAACAGCGTTACACCCCCAGCTACCTAGTTTCAATGTGGCCTCACTGCTGGGGATGTTGATGTTGCTGCGGTTTCGAAACGACATGTCCCTTGGCACGACTACCTTCACCTGGTTCATCTTGCCCACATCCCGGTCCTTTGTCCTATGCAGCGTCTAGGCTGTGTTTACAGTTCGCACCGTGCTCCAGTCTGAAACCGAAGCAGAACATAAGTGGAATTGTCCCAACCTCACACATCACAAGTCGCACGACATGTTCGGTTGTCGTCCAAACAGTATTCAAGCACGTGATATGTGATATCGCAGGATTCGGCCTTCCCGTAACACTCCATGTGCTGACGCAGCCGCGGCATGGTCAGGTGATAAGGTACCTGCACCAGGCTAGTGATAGAGTTACTAAAACAGCTACAATCGCGTGGACATCCCCGAGACGATGCCCAAAACTTTGTTGGACGATAAGCTGCATAACGATCTTCGACCATCGAGGGTGTGCTCCCGGAAAAGTAAGCGAGCTCCAAATACTACCAAGAATAAAAAGTCCGAGGAGACCAAACGCCCCAGCTCTGTGCTTAGCGCAACATAATGCAACCATGTAGCGGGGCGTATGATGAGCTGCGCTTCTGGGCTCTCTCTGCCACCGGCCTGAGACGAAAACGAACAGCGGAGACTGCGAGAAATGAACTTTGTTTAAGTGTCTCGGAACTAGGCCCTGAGAGAAAATGTTGCACGCTGTGCTTGCATAGCTCTGCCCGACCTCGACGGTAGTTCGGCTGGAAAGGCCGATTGCACGCACGCGGCTCACAGTGTCCAGGAGCTGCCGCACAGCCAGGAGACGTGAGCGAACAGGCACAGACACGAAGTTGCAAGGCAGACTTCACACCTCGTCTATGCGCTGATGATTTGCCGGTGTGGAGAACTCTGCGAGCGTCTGGATGCACCTGGAAAGGGGAAAGCTCGCGATAATCAAGCTGAACTTTTCTGTGTGTCATAGTTACGGAATTAGGGAGGTGTCTCAGAAACTACTCCCTGTTCACTAGCGGCTGGTTCTGTCCCATAAGCGAAGGTTCAATGTGCGATTGTGACTCGGTGCAATGCTATGAGCAAGACCGTAGCAAAAGTCCAAGAAGGATCTCAATTTCAACATCATCGCCGTCGAGGGCCCGCGGCCTCGAAATCGCTCTGGAGAAAGCTGAGGATTGCACTCCGGCAAATCGCCCACTGCTTCACAGGCAATAATACTCTGGATTGCACTCTTCAACCTGACACAGGACACAGCGCTGTCCACGAGCCGAGTTGAGCCTTTGTAACCAAACAACTTTCCGAAGCCATCACAACGCAAAATATCCGAAAGTGGCACAACCTCTCGCAGACAATGTCAATGCCGCGTTTCGTGAATGCATCTATTTTTGTGCAAACCACATCGACATGACCAACCAGTGCCGCAAACTAACAAACTGGAAGCCTCGTCTCCAGCATGGCATCTTCAAAGCCTCCCGCGTGCGTCGGGGGCGGGAAAAGGCTTGATGTGAGTGTCTGGCCTTGTCTCTGAAAGCCAGCAGCCACCACGTAGAAACAAGGATCCGCCTTGAGAGTCGCGAGAAATGGCGGCGCTGCGGCGACTCGCCTGCCTGCCTGGTGGAAGCTCTCGGACTTGAAGGGGAAGACCTCGCTCGAGCAGCGCATCCGCCGACACGTCTCTCGGAAGAACTCCCAGCTTCCCGGGCCTCCTGGAAGAAGGCTATCACGAGTCCCAACAAGCGCAGGATCGCCTCACAGTCTTTGTAATACTCAGATTGGAAATATCCCCACGACCGGACAGCCTCGCGGTACCAGTGCTCTTCCTGGTCTCCACGTCCACGCCACCCAAATCGGAAGAAAAACGTACCTGCTCATGACAAGATGCGCCAGCGGCGGCCAGCACAAAGTTCCGGCCTTGCCTCCTTCCTGAAGCATGCCAAGACCCAATCGGATCTCCTTGCCGGGAACGGAGTTCCAAGCTACTCAGAGCCAAGTGAATCTGAATCGTCTGAATCCTGGAAGGTCAGGGCCCAAATTCCCAATGTGGCACACCTGGGAGACAAAACAAGACGGCTCCTGGTCCTAGAGACCTTTGCGTAGGAACCCATCATGCCGGCAACACGCGGCGCCAATCCCAGCAGCCTCGCAGTCATCGCCTGTGGCACACTACACCGGCCATCCACCCCTTGCCACACACCAGATCTAGATCTGATGGACTGACGCATGAAGCGACCAAACCACACAGCAACGCGTACACTTCTCGACAACGTTATCTCTGGGCTGTTACGATATGTGAGAACCTACTGCTGGGTGTCTCCCAGAGCCACACTACGGCCACTACTGGATTCCTTTTGGCGGTTTCCGCGGCTCAGCGGCTCCGGCTCTGTAAACCGGATCCGTCGTCGCCGCCGTCGGTCGGAAGAGTCGGCTCTCGGGTCGGGCCCGGGGCCCGCGGGGCCTTGTTTTCCAGCGTTCTTCGAGGACTTCCCGTTGTTGCGGCGCTTCTTTTCTCCTCATCGAAAGAAAATTCAGCGCTCTGAGACTTTCGGTCCGTCGTGACCGTGAGCAGCTGGGCATCACACGCTGATTTGCTGGGCTTCGTCTTCCCAGGTCCTGGCTAATTATGGCTGGGAGAGGCTTGCTCTGGCTCAGGAGCTGCGAAGCACTTCGCTCAAACAGCATCGACAAGTCAGACCGCCCCCGAACAACCCATCAATATGGTGCCCAAGCCACCTGCGCGTCTGCCATGATCACATCAACCAGTTTCGGACCTCGCCAACTGAGAAACAGTCAAAGGCCGTGCCTGCGGCTGTGAAGAACAAGCCAAATCCCGAAGATGAGAGGTTTACACTCCAGGTCTTCTGGAGACTGCAGTTCCATCAGGTTGCTTGCCTGCTAACAGCCCAACGAAGTCATAAGCAGGCTCTCCTTTATGTTTCGCCACGCAAGAGCCATAGACAAGACTGCCTGAACATGGAACCGATGGTCGTGCAGCAGCAGGGGGAAGCCACCCGCCTGCAAAGCAGTGGTCCGATGTCATTTAATTACTCATGAATCAAGGCGGAAGGCCTCAAACGGCAAAGTGACACCGTAACCAGTGCCGCCATCGCCCAACTCCTGGCAAACTGTAGCTGTGCTGTGAAAGGCTTAGGTGGACTATGTCCACACTCCGTGACGACTCTGCGGAGCCTTTTGTTGTAGGCTTTGACAGCCATCGCATGCCATCACTCCAGGTCTCGTGTCAGGTCTGCATCAGCCGTGAAAAACAGTTCTGGCACTATATAAACTCCAGAACTGCTTCGGTAAAGGCGACATCTTCCCTAGCTGCCAGCACTACGCAAATCTCACTTCGCTCTGCAATGCCCTGCATTTCCGCCATCTGAATAAGCTCGAATCATGATGCCGCCGTAACTCCCCGTACGCCATGTCAATCTCCCCATCTCGGGTGTGCAACGGCAACATCTGCCGCTAGTTGAGGAGATTTGAGGAGGTTGATCAGCTCAAGACCTGCCATCTGGCGTCTCGCGGCCCACGCGCATAGATTCGTGCAACGCTGTAGCCGCCAGGGACTCTGGACGACCAAGATTGCATGCTGCACCGCGCTCGCAAAGCCCATGGTATGGCGAAGATGCCGCTCCACTCAAGCGCGGGTTTCGCTGGTCCGGCTCGACACCTCTTGCGAGCACTGGAACATCCAGGCCACCGGTATCTGGAATGGAAAGCTGGCGGC